CGGCTCTCCAAGGAAAGCAGAGACTGAAAAATGCAAGAATATCCAGACTTAGAAACGACAGAAATAGTTCCTTTATGCAAAACTTCTTTGTAATAAGTAAGCCATCTATTCTGCCCAGTTTTCAACTTCCTCTTGTTTTCTTCTTTTTCGGAAATAATTGTAGATCTCATGTCAAACAGCTGAGCAGCAGCTCTAGTTAAAAAAACTGTTTCAAAACCCCATGTGTTGAACATCACCACACACATCTCTGGCTCTTAGAGGGAATACAAGAGGAAAGAAAAACATCAGTTTGCACAAAGTGCCAAAATATAAAGCCTGGTTTTGGCTTTGAGTTTAGCATTAGAAGTATATACTGCAGTGACTGGCTGACAAAATGTTATAAAATTCAAAATTAGCAAAAATGAGGTAGTTGTCCTTCCACTGGAGCTCCCAGCTGCGTGTGAGAGGATGCTTGTCACAACCTCCTGGGCCCCTGAGACTGGTAGCAGTGGGGTGAGAGAAGTAGTCCAGGCTTTCCTGCAGCAGCAGAGGGAGGAAGCGGGCAGCCTGCAGCCAGAATGTGCTTGACTGTGGGATAAAACCTTGAGATGAGCACAGTTGGAAGAGCATCTTCCAGCTAAGAACTGGGGCAGAGCTGCAAATCCAAAGGAAATCTGGTGTGCGCTGGTGTTTGTGCTTCCCACAGCAGACGTGAGAAAGCAGTGCTCAAGCCTGTCTCTTGAATGTGGGTGCACCAAACTGCTGCAGGGACAGCTGCGAAGCGTAACTGCAGGGTTTAACCAGAAATCCCGGATGCTCTGCTAGTGCAGACAGACCTTAGGCTGTGTTATGTCACTGGCCTCGGGAATGTGACTGATCCGCTGAGCTAACATTGATGTGAGACAATACCCTTAACAATAACCACATCTAAGCCCTCCTATTCCAGGTCAAATGGATTATCTCATTCCTGGAGTGAAAGGATCCCAGACACAAAACATATTTCAGACATTTGTGAAAATGGGAGGCCCAGGAGTAATTCTTGGCAAGGTAAGTCTGAACCTCTGTGCTGGCCACAGTGGAAACTAGCTTCTGGGCCATTGCTGCTCTACTGAAAGTTTAGCTGATCTTAGGACAGCAGCATGACTCCTTAAAATTGTGCTAATTGTTATTAACCTGGAACTGGGATTTAGCAGCACCCTACACAAATACCTTTTTTGCACAATGCTTTGTCACATAGAAATGACATTTAATTTCTCCCATTCTTCCCGTGTGAGCTAACATGAAAAAGAGGAAGAAGTCTATTCATTCTTGCCAGCTTCTGTGATTTTGTTAAGCCGTGTTTAGTGTTTTTCTTGAAATGTAGTGATTTTCTCAAATGAAAGCTGAAATTAAGGACGTTTTTGCTCCGACAGTTGCAGCAAAAAGTAGAGAAAGATCATGTAAGTGTCAAGTTTAGCTGGTCTGAGGTAAATCAAGAGGAACTGACCTGTGACTTTTAAATGGCTAAAGCTAATGAGGTAATGACTTTTGCTGGCGATGCAAAAAGAATATTCAGTTTGGCATGGGACGCAGGTGAGTTTCAAGTTGTTTTACCCTCTGTCTTTATCCTTTGATTTCTTTCAGGTAATATAGGAGGAAACAGAAAGAAAGTCAGAGGCAAAAGATTTAGGCCACGGTCTAATTCAACTGAGTAAGTCTGAACTTATAAAAGCAAAGCCAAGAAGTACAGTTTTCATATTTGTGTTTTGTAGATGGAGATTAAGAGTGCTGAAAAGTAGACAGCTGCATTTTTGCTCTATGGCATTCTGGTTGCCGACTGATAATCTGGTAAATGGTTTGGCTAATGTATTTCAACCTCTTTTTATGTGTTCTGTAAAAATTAACTATCAATTTTCTTTTTTGTGTAGGCTTCCTCACAGTCGTTCCCATAGCAATTCCCAATGATGGTGGCAGGCTGCACCATCACTGCAGGCTTTTGTCTACAGTAAACTGCCATTGCTGAGTGTATCCTGGTTCAATACTGAATTTCTGATAACCTATTTCCTACCCTTGTCTTCAGCTTGGGTTGGGCCATTGCAGAGTTAGAGATTTGTATCTCTGCACACCTGCCTGGAGGTTTTAGGAGAGGTGTCTTCTGCTTTGAGAGTACCCTGAAGTTTATCATTGTAAGCCTGAAACAGTCTTGAGTAAGCCCTGCAATAAATGGGCAATGAGAGTCCTTACCAAGCCACTGATCCCCAGACCTTTCCAGTTTGACTTAGAGTGGCTTTCTTACTGATTTATTGGTTACATTTACTGAAAACCCCACGTGTGCAGTGCTTCCCATAGGGAAGAGCCTTTCTTATGTACTTAAGCCTGCTGGTTCAGGCTCCTTTTGTGAATGAATGGGTGAGTGGCTGGAAACATAATCTCTGGGCTTGGCAAGCACTGGTCTGCTCTTACAGCACTTACGCCACATGGGAATGGGCCCCTTCTTTGACCATGGTGGCGATGACAGTGCCCTTTCCCTGTATCATTAGTACTAACTTTGCATCTCTGGGCAAATGGGCTTGATACCAACCCTGCTGGAAACTAACAATGCTAACTCCTCTCTGGGCCCTGCTTTCTTCGGTTTGGGGATTTTGAGTTTGTTCTGAAACTTTTCTTCCAACTGCAGTACACTGTCTTGAGGTGAGTAGGCTCAGAATGGTTCATAGAGAAGACCCTCTGTTACAAGTTACAGAAATAATGGTTCAATGCACGTTGCAATTACAACATCGCATGGTCAAAATGGCAACATGGAACCAGAAATTTTAGCCCTAGATCCCTTGGAGGAGTTTATCTGTCAAGTGCCCCTGTGCTTTTGGTCTTTGAGCTGATAAACTCTTACTGAAGTGTTACTTTGCTCATTTTCTTTTCTCCTTGCATGAGACAGTTTGATAAAAGCAGAATTAGTCTGACCAAACTGCCAAGAATACAAATGAGATTGCACATTCTTATTTGGAAACTTATCCTGTGTGTTCCCTCGTTTTCCAACTGTATTTCTTAAACAAAATTTGGGGTTTTTTTTTAAAGAAAAGTTTAAATTAATGATACTATTATTCTGTTATTCAACAAAGGTGTATACTGGGGCTGAATTGGTCCATAAAGAATGAAAAGAGATCAGCTCTTTTTAGTCTAGAGTGAACGCAACTGCATGGGAAGAGTATTGTTTTCAGTAAAAGCAAAAAACCCCAATGGGCATATTTTTTCCTCTGTGCTTCTCAGCTGCTATATTACACATTTGCTCTGAGAACTTTGGAGCGCTAAATAAGTGGGTAGACAAAGAGAGTGTGAGCTGGAAATCTTTTTCCCTGTACGTTTTGGTTTGTTTTTTTTTTCTCTTTTAAAGGTGCCCCTGAATCCACCTAATTCTCTGCTTTCCTTCTTGATGCTTGTTATGGTCTCTCAACCCAGCAGCAGCCCTGGTGCTAGAGGGAGGAGGCTTATACTTCCCAAGGGCTGTGCAGCAGCCTGTTAGGGATGAAGCAGAGCCTGTGTATTCCTGGGAGAGACCTGCCAGGCAGGAAAATGCTTTCTCCTGCTTGGGTCTGTTCTGGACTGCAAGGGACCACATGGCTTGTCCGAGTCTCCTTGCCAGCCTGTCACTGCTTGGAGAGAGAGCTCCCACTGAATGATCCACGTGCTCTGTCAATTCGGTGGGGAACGGAGAGAATTGCGGAGGGTGTACTGTGGCTCTGGTTAGAGAGATAACTTCCTTTGTGAGCAGAGAAAATTGACTGAGAATGATCTAACCGTGGCCAGCGTTTGCTCATTTAGGAAAACAAAAAGCAATGCCAGCTGCTTTGAGGATGCCTCAGAATACATGGAGGCTTTTCCCAGACAAATTTACCTTCTTACCTTCTCTGTGAAATGTAGAATATTGAAATCTGTTCTGAAACAGTGGACAGCATTGGGAAAGTTTACCTGTGTGGCTCCTGGGAGTCCAATGAAGCATACTTGCTGAGATGGAAGAAAAAGGGTAACACTGTTGGTATCCTGTTAGTAGTAGAGACAGTGTAGTTAACCACTAGAAAATTGCATTCATTTGTGCCATACCTTGTGCAAAAATTAATTTTTTTTTAAGCAAGTGCGCACTCATACAGTTGCCTACAAAAGTATTTGACGTACACATGAGTCTGCAGTAACTGCACATATTATGCACAAGGGTTTTTTTATATACAGCCAAGCACCAGGTAGAGACTCATGCCATTAATCATTTAAGGAAAATTTCTTAAGCAGAGCAAGGTTTGAGCTTTGCAGCCCTCATGAGCAACACTGACAGGAGGGCTGCAAGCACATTGGGCAGTTCCTGAAAAATGTACTGCTCATGCCTTTGTGCGACCCCTTGTACCTAACAGATACGTGAACGAGGCTTCTGCTAAGTGTATAGCTCTATGGAGACTGCTAAATCTCTTTTGGGACATTTTTAATTGTTTCTAGATGTTTTAAAACAAAATTCATGTTCTTTACTAAAGGAAGATGGTTCAGTTCACACAGAAGGAATGCCAACAGGCCAAATGTATCTGCAGCTTTTTCAGAAACAGGGTTGATGAAATGGCCTGATAAACACATTTTCTATTAAAATCAATTAGAGCTTTCCAGGAATGATAACGAGAGTTTTCTGAATAAGCTGAGAGTTTAATTGGGAGCTTGTGTTCAAAGAGATCCCAGGGAACATCTGTTTTGCCAAAATAGCGATTTTGACCTTCGTTAATTTGCATTGCTTTTCTTGTAAGCATTTGTCTTCCTCGTTGTTATAACTGATACGAACATCTTTGGCTTAGACTTTCTATTATATATTGTCTTTTTGCAGCAGGGTAACCCATGCATCTGAGCCTGGGCTTTCTCTCGCCCACCAAATCCCGGCCCAAGGCATAAGCCCAGGGGGTTCTGACCACCCCCAAACAGGGAGTCGGGATCACAGGTCAGTCTCACCTGCCCCTGCGTTCTGGGCTGCCATTTTATCCTGTGAAAAGTCCCTTCCCTCAGTATACAATAGTTTCACTGTGGCAAAACACCGTGACTGCTTGGAGGTGCTCCTGCTGATGCAGCGCTAGCTAATATTCCTCCTCGCCAGCCTGAGGAGTACGAGTACTCTTGAGCCCAGGTCTTTTGCCTTGTTGCATGTTGCGCTACAAGCCAAATCGAGCTGTTGGTCTAGCTGTAGCCTTATGTGTAAGGACACCTGTGTTTTAAACCGGAATTTCTCACTAAAGAATATGTGGATTCTGGCCATCGCTAATGAACATGTGGCCAGGAAGATCAGCCTGAGAACTTTCTAATGGTATCACGTAGTGGTCTGCAGTAACTCGAGTTTAGCCTTTCTGTAACAGATCAATTGAGACGGTGAACCAGGGTCTGTAATACAACCAGACCTGGGAAACCCTGCAACACGGTTGTGCAACAACTGCATGCTTTGATACCACGTTACACTTTGTTTTCTAATACAGGAAGCCAGATTGGGAGTGTTTCATGGTTACCAAAAGACCCTTTCAAATGAAAAAAAGCAAGTCAAAAGTACTGCAACGAGTACAAGAAAATGTGTAGTCGCACCTGCAATTAAAGCTAAAGTGGAAGTTTATTAGTTCCTGGTGATGTTGGCGTCAGCCTCTTGCTTCACTTGCGGTTCATCTGTTGCTGCGCTACCACTTTTAATGTTTTCTTTCTCTAAGAGTCCAAGCTGGAAAGCATAAAGCACTCCTGATTCCTGATAAATAAGTGAGCTGAGGAAGCTACTTAGAAGCACTTTTGGCTGAGGGCGAGTACTTTCTGAGAGCTGTGGCTGTGCTTGTGCGGGGCGGGGAGGAGAAGTTCCAGAGCAAAAAAGGAGCAAAAGAAGTCGAAAAAGTGCTGCTGCTTTTGTCGTCAACATGGTTTGAAATATGGTGGGGGTTGAACGATATGATCTGGCCCAGCCTTTACCCATCTGAGCAATCCCTTGCACAGCCTGTTCCCATGTGTGAGGTCATTGGAGTCACTCTGTTAAACAAGGGTGGCAAGAATTGGCCCAGAAATATTGAAAATAACTTAAAGAGGAATTTTCTTTCCGTATTTCCTTGGTTACAGTTTGTTTCCTATTTCAGAGTGTGCTAGTCTCCACTGTATGAAGGTGGTGATCACAAATAATCGTTAAACTGTTGCCATTCTTACACAACAAGAACAGACTTAAAATTGGACCGGGCAGACTCCTGTTTCTACATTGCCCTTTTTTCTTAACAGAGGGAGAGGAGTTTGCTAATCTTGTTATTAGGGGCTAAGAGAAACCGGTTACCAAAAATTTTTCTTCTTCCCTGGTAATATTACTGTCAGATAATTAAACGCTGTCTTTATTTCATAGTCTTCGTGTAACTAATATGAGTATGCAGCTCAGATTTTTTTCCTAAAAAGTGTGGGTTTGGTATGAAGATTGCTTCTACAAAATGTGAGATAACTCTGCAGCCCACCTCCTCCAAAGCTTCTTATGGTTCTAGCAAATTAAATGATCATTGAAAAATCAGAGGGTTTATTGCACATAAGTGTAAAAATTGCCACTGTAATGGCAAACAGTTCAAGTCTTTTAACACACTGAGGCCGAAATTCATTCCTGTAGAAAGGGCCAAGCCCAAGTTTCTGTGCTTGTTTAGCTATTATCTTGCAATTTATTCTAGATGAGTGCAAATGTGTGTCTTC